CTGTTGCCCCCAATCTTATCATTGCTACCCTAATCATATTACTGGAGCAATAATGTTACTGATATTAACTCTAATCTTAATGCTGCTTTTTTCGAGGTCACCCCTGGTTCATAAACCAGCTGTCATGTCATCTTGTCTGTCACCCCCAGGTCACCCCGGTTCATGAACCAGCTGTCATGTCATCTTGTCTGCCACCCCCAGGTCACCCCCGGTTCATGAACCAGCTGTCATGTCATCTTGTCTTGCCACCCCCAGGTCACCCCCGGTTCATGAACCAACTGTCATGTCATCTTGTCTACCACCCCCAGGTCACCCCCGGTTCATGAACCAGCTGTCATGTCATCTTGTCTGCCACCCCCAGGTCACCCCCGGTTCATGAACCAGCTGTCATGTCATCTTGTCTACCACCCCCAGGTCACCCCCGGTTCATGAACCAGCTGTCATGTCATCTTGTCTACCACCCCCAGGTCACCCCCGGTTCATGAACCAGCTGTCATGTCATCTTGTCTGCCACCCCCAGGTCACCCCCGGTTCATGAACCAGCTGTCATGTCATCTTGTCTACCACCCCCAGGTCACCCCGGTTCATGAACCAGCTGGCATGTCATCTTGTCTACCACCCCCAGGTCACCCCGGTTCATGAACCAGCTGTCATGTCATCTTGTCTGCCACCCCCAGGTCACCCCCGGTTCATGAACCAGCTGTCATGTCATCTTGTCTGCCACCCCCAGGTCACCCCCGGTTCATGAACCAGCTGTCATGCGGTACGGAGGTGGTGTCGCTGGCGGGTGAGTGGCTGACCGCGGCCGCCAACACCAATATGTTCACCTATGAGATCGCTCCAGTCTTTATCCTCATGGAACACGTAAGTATATGTGTCTCTCGTAATGATATGTCTCTCTCTCACGGGGGATATGTGTCTCTCTCTCTCACGGAGGATATGCGTCTCTCTCTCACGGAGGATATGTGTCTCTCTCTCACGGAGGATATGTCTCTCTCTCCCAGGGGGGGTATGTGTCTCTCTCTCACGGAGGATATGCGTCTCTCTCTCACGGAGGATATGTCTCTCTCTCTCACGGAGGATATGTCTCTCTCTCCCAGGGGGGATATGTGTCTCTCTCTCACGGAGGATATGCGTCTCTCTCTCACGGAGGATATGTCTCTCTCTCTCACGGAGGATATGTCTCGCTCTCTCACGGGGGATATGTGTCTCTCTCTCCCAGGGGGGATATGTGTCTCTCTCTCCCGGGGGATATGTGTCGCTTTTCTCCTGCTGGGGAGATACATGTGTCCCTCTCTCCTTCTGGATGCAAACATGTGTCAAAATTTATATTGGCAATAGATGTCGAGATGTCAAAAGATGTCAATAGCTTAGCTAATGTCTACATATGGAGAGCACGGATCATTGTGACTTCAAGCGATGTCAGTAGCTTGGCTTCACTCTATATTTAGAGGAAGACAACAGCTGGAAGATCACATTTACAATAAAAACAGCAAACCACAAGTAACAAGCTAACTATACAGCCAGTGAAGTTTTTGCGTTGCTATTTGCACTAAAAACGTCCACAAAACGTTTTTTTAAAACGTTTTGTAGATGTTTTTAAAAACGTCCCAAAAAACCGTTTTTAAAAACGTTTTTTGAACGTTTTTAAAAAACATCCACAAAATATTTTTCAAACCGCATTCAAAACGTTATAAAACATGTCGGAGGACCCAGGTATAAGTGTGCTCCACACGCACCGATGACACACACACACACACACGTTAGTTGTGGTGCGTGACGCAGATGTTCTCCCCCGTCACAGATCACCATGAAACACATGCGAGAAATCATCGGGTACAAGGGAGGAGACAGCATCCTGGCTCCTGGCGGCTCCATCAGCAACCTCTACGCTGCTCTTGCGGCCAGGCACAAGATGTTCCCCGAGTACAAGAAGAAGGGGCTCCTGGCTCTTCCTGGTGAACTCTGCATGTTCACCTCCCTTCATGTGAGTATCCCTTCGTGTGGGTATCCCTTCACCTGCACCCTTCATGTGAGTACCTCTTCACCTGTCACCTTTTCAGCTATTCATGCATAACACTGTTCACCTGTCCAAATAACCCGAAGGACACATGTTTACCTGGCTAGTTTAGAGCACTTGTATCTCTCAGCTCACCTTGTTAATGTGTGTGTGTGTATTTACTATTTGTATCAGCAGAATCAAGCTCTTGGACTCTGCCTTTCTAACCAATCTATTTTTCCTCTATAATGTCTTCTACATATATGTCTCTTACACACAAACTCACACACACACACACATACACACACACACACACACATCCCAAAGGAGCAGCCCATAGCAGCTTTCTCTCAGGTTCTCTCCATTTACTGTTAGGTGAACAGGCACTTCTGGTGAAAGAAACTGTCCATTTGTTTCCGCCACGGCCGGGAATCGAACCCAGGCCCATAGGCATACGACTCCTGAGCTCTGTCCACTCAGCCACAAGGCCCCTTAGTGTGTGTGTACTACAGCTCCTGGGCCCCCATTAACACCTCTCCCCCCCCTCCCCACCACCACAGAGCCACTACTCGCTGATGGGGGCAGCCGCCGCCATGGGTCTGGGCACCGATAACCTTATTGAAGTTCCTGTCGACGACAAGTGAGTCTTATTCATAGTTCTTCATCACACAATAAAGGCGTCTTGTTCATATCTAAGATGTTTAAGTGAGTCGTGATGAAAATTTTAAAAACTGAAGTTGCCGTTTTGAGATTTGAATTTTCCCGCCCAAAGTGCAGTGTCACAAATCCTCAACAATTCCTGTTTTAAATATATAACTTGCATGTAAATACCTTCTGTTTTATGGTGGTGGTGGTGTGTGTTGTGAGGCTGTGTGGTGGTGGTAGTGTGTTGACCCTTGACCTCTCCCCCTAGGGGCCGCATGGTGCCATCAGAGCTCGACCGACTGATCCAGGAGGCTAAGGGTAAGGGTAAGGTGCCATTCATGGTGACAGCCACCGCTGGCACCACCGTCATGGGGGCCTTCGACCCCCTCCACGCCATCGCTGACGTCTGCGAGAAGCACAAGCTCTGGTTCCACGTTGACGTGAGTACCTCACTCCTCTTAGCCTCTCAGTACTCTCTAACACTCTCGATTCCTAAGGATTTGTATCAAATTCTCTGAGTTCCTAAAGAATCAGCAGTTACAGTAGGCTCTGAAGCCTCAACTAGAGTCTTCAATTGTTTACATTCGCAAGTTTTATCTATGGTCACAAAATTATTAAAATGTTTTGTGTTGATGTATTGTGTAATGATTGCTTCTCCCCACACGCCTGCTGGTGCGGTAGGCTGCCTGGGGAGGCGGAGTGCTCCTCTCCAAGAACCAGAGGCACAAGATGGACGGCGTAGAGCGGTCGCAGTCCATCACCTGGAACCCTCACAAGCTGATGGGAGTCCTCCTTCAGTGCTCAACTATTCACTTCCAGGAAGATGTAAGTATCACCAGATGTCTTGGACGACGCCGGAACCTCACGTTCCCAAGACTGTCGCCTCACATGTTGTGGTTTAAGTAACCTTCCTCACCTGGAACTGTAGGAGGTGAGTGTTCCAGCTCTTCCAGCACTGCCTGGAGCCTGCACCAGTTGTGTTCCAGCTGTGTTCCAGCTGTGTTCCAGATGTATTCCAGCTGTGTTCCAGCTGTGTTCCAGCTGTGTTCCAGCTGTGTTCCAGCTGTATCCCAGCTGTATCCCAGCTGTATCCTAGCTGTATCCTAGCTGTATCCTAGCTGTATTCCAGCTGTATCCCAGCTGTATCCTAGCTGTATTCCAGCTGTATCCCAGCTGTGTTCCAGCTGTATCCCAGCTGTATCCCAGCTGTATCCCAGCTGTATTCCAGCTGTATTCCAGCTGTATTCCAGCTGTATTCCAGCTGTATTCCAGCTGTATTCCAGCTGTATTCCAGCTGTATCCCAGCTGTATCCCAGCTGTGTTCCAGCTGTATCCCAGCTGTGTTCCAGCTGTATCCTAGCTGTATCCCAGCTGTATCCCAGCTGTGTTCCAGCTGTATCCCAGCAGTGTTCCAGCCTGTTATGGTGAGCGCACTTAGCTCTACTCTGCTCCAGCGGCTCCACTTTGGGGTTGACATAGTAGGTATAGAAGCAATCAATATTAAAAATTACTGAACAGTAGAAACGAGAGGACATAGTTGACAGCTGGGAACCCAGATGAGCCACAGGGCTGTCAGGAGTAACTGTGACAGTCTAACAGTCGTAAACAACTGGACCGGACTGGATGGACAAGTTGACCAAGACAATACCATACACAACTTTAAATGTAAATGTGATAAGAGACAAAAAAAAATAAGTCAAATGAGTCACTGAATTGATCCAATGATGGTCGAAAGGCGGGACTTAAGAGAAGATGGTCGACCCTGCAAGCACAACTAGGTGAGTACACAACACTCAGGCTCTGAGGTCACTGTTAGGTCACTGTGAGGTCACTGAGAGGTCACTGTGAGGGACGTCAGGTCAATAGGGCGAGGCTGGGGGTCACCTGCGCCCCATAACTGTCATTTATAATTCATTATATATTTAGTGACGGGGCCAGATTCACGAACCAGTTAAGCAAGCACTTACGAACCTGGGGCCAGAATCACGAAGCAGTTACGCAAGCACTTACGAACGTGTACACCTTTCCTCAATCTTTGACGGCTTTGGTTACATTTATTAAACAGTTTACAAGCATGAAAACTTGCCAATCAACTGTTGTTATTGTTATAAACAGCCTCTTGGTGCTTCGGAGCTCATTAACTGTTTAATAATTGTAAACAAAGCCGCCAAAGATTGAGAAAAGATGGACAGGTTCGTAAGTGCTTAACGTAACTGCTTCGTGAATCTGGCCTCCAGGTTCGCGAGGATGTATTCATTTTAATGTGCTGTATGAATGTATGATGAGTAATGTAGTGATGGTGAGTGAGGCATCAGTTTGACGGCTGATGGTGAGTGACGGCTGATGGTGTAGCCACTAGTCAACAGCTGAGGTGATGGAAAACCTTTTCTCTGTTTACCTGTGATGTGTCTCCCTCTGGACCGTCACTTGGGCGTCAGGACGCGTCTCCATGTTCCAGGGACTGTTGATCTCGTGTAACCAGATGTGCGCCGACTACCTCTTCCAGCAGGACAAGCCTTACGACGTCAACTACGACACCGGCGACAAGGTCATCCAGTGTGGCCGACACAATGATATCTTCAAGCTGTGGCTACTCTGGCGGTCCAAGGTGGGTACTTCAGGGGTGCTCCAAGGTGGGTACTCCAGTGGTGGTCCAAGGTGGGTACTTCAGTGGTGCTCCAAGGTGGGTACTTCAGTGGTGCTCCAAGGTGGGTACTTCAGTGGTGCTCCAAGGTGGGTACTCCAGTGGTGGTCCAAGGTGGGTACTTCAGTGGTGCTCCAAGGTGGGTACTTCAGGGGTGCTCCAAGGTGGGTACTCCAGTGGTGGTCCAAGGTGGGTACTCCAGTGGTGCTCCAAGGTGGGTACTTCAGGGGTGCTCCAAGGTGGGTACTCCAGTGGTGCTCCAAGGTGGGTACTCCAGTGGTGCTCCAAGGTGGGTACTCCAGTGGTGCTCCAAGGTGGGTACTCAAGCAGTGCTCCAAGGTGGGTACTCAAGCAGTGCTCCAAGGTGGGTACTTCAGTGGTGCTCCAAGGTGGGTACTTCAGTGGTGCTCCAAGGTGGGTACTTCAGTGGTGCTCCAAGGTGGGTACTCCAGTGGTGGTCCAAGGTGGGTACTTCAGTGGTGCTCCAAGGTGGGTACTTCAGGGGTGCTCCAAGGTGGGTACTCCAGTGGTGGTCCAAGGTGGGTACTCCAGTGGTGCTCCAAGGTGGGTACTTCAGGGGTGCTCCAAGGTGGGTACTCCAGTGGTGCTCCAAGGTGGGTACTTCAGGGGTGCTCCAAGGTGGGTACTCCAGTGGTCCTCCAAGGTGGGTACTCAAGCAGTGCTCCAAGGTGGGTACTCAAGCAGTGCTCCAAGGTGGGTACTCAAGCAGTGCTCCAAGGTGGGTACTCAAGCAGTGCTCCAAGGTGGGTACTCAAGCAGTGCTCCAAGGTGGGTACTCAAGCAGTGCTCCAAGGTGGGTACTCAAGCAGTGCTCCAAGGTGGGTACTCAAGCAGTGCTTCAAGGTGGGTACTCAAGCAGTGCTCCAAGGTGGGTACTCAAGCAGTGCTCCAAGGTGGGTACTCAAGCAGTGCTCCAAGGTGGGTACTCAAGCAGTGCTCCAAAGTGGGTACTCAAGCAGTGCTCCAAAGTGGGTACTCAAGCAGTGCTTCAAGGTGGGTACTCAAGCAGTGCTCCAAAGTGGGTACTCAAGCAGTGCTCCAAGGTGGGTACTCAAGCAGTGCTCCAAGGTGGGTACTCAAGCAGTGCTTCAAGGTGGGTACTCAAGCAGTGCTCCAAGGTGGGTACTCAAGCAGTGCTCCAAGGTGGGTACTCAAGCAGTGCTCCAAGGTGGGTACTCAAGCAGTGCTCCAAGGTGGGTACTCAAGCAGTGCTCCAAAGTGGGTACTCAAGCAGTGCTCCAAAGTGGGTACTCAAGCAGTGCTTCAAGGTGGGTACTCAAGCAGTGCTCCAAGGTGGGTACTCAAGCAGTGCTTCAAGGTGGGTACTCAAGCAGTGCTCCAAGGTGGGTACTCAAGCAGTGCTCCAAGGTGGGTACTCAAGCAGTGCTGCAAGGTGGGTACTCAAGCAGTGCTCCAAGGTGGGTACTCAAGCAGTGCTCCAAGGTGGGTACTTCAGTCATCCTCCATAATTTGCGGTTCCATGGGGTTACAACCCTATGGGTGAAAAAAAAACATCTGTTCTCAGTCCAACATTGTGGCTTGTTGAGCTTGAAACTTTTGCCCCTTGTTTGTGTTACATCTGACCTTTTCAAGAAACTGTCAGGATCAACATCCTCCAAAATGTTCAGTATTTTAAAAGTTTCGATGTTCAGTGTTCTCCATCTATGTCTATGATGTATATATTTTATGACTAAAAAAAGGGTTGGCCCCAAAATGGACCCCTGTGGTACCCCCACTCAACATATTTCTACAGATTCTTTTTTTGTTTTGTTTAGGTCACCTTGTGTTGTCTTTGTTTTCATGAACTGTGTTTATCCATGCCAGTCTTCTATCATTTATTCCTTGTTCTTGTACATTCCTTACCAGTCTTTCATGTGATATCTTATTAAAACCTTAAGAAAAGTCCATGTATACTAAGCCTGCTGGGAAGTCCTTTGTCTCAGTAGCTGGGTTACTGTTTTCAAAAACGTGAGCAGCTTAATTATATTAATAAGGCCAGATATATTTTCTTTAGAAACCCATTTCGAAAACGGTTTAGAAAATCTAGACAAAAACCATTTATTCTAGTTTTTTTCTAGATTGTGTACTGTAAAATGGCGCGTGATTCAGGCGTTTAGGATCCTGGCCATGAAATGGCAGATGTGTGGGACTGACTGGTCTCTAGTTTCCTGCTGAGCTCTTTCTGCCTCGGTAGAAAGACGGTCTCGCATCACCGACCACAACCACAAGTGGTTGGGCACTATTCCTTTCCCTCCGTCCCATCCCAACTCCTTATCCTGACCCCTTCCCAGTGCTATAAAGTCAGAATGGCTTGGCGCTTTCCCCAAATAATTAAAAAAAACTCTACCTCAATGGAAGGGTCATTTGTATATTTTCAATTTAGGGGACCTGTCTTTTGGTCCAGGGAATTAGGGGACCTATCTTTTGGTCCAGGGAATTAGGGGACCTATCTTTTGGTCCAGGGAATTAGGGGACCTGTCTCTTGGTCCAGGGAATTAGGGGACCTGTCTTTTGGTCCAGGGAATTAGGGGATCTAAATCCCTGGACCAAAATATAAAAGACCTGTTAGTACAATTGGAGTCGTCTCCAGGAGGCCTGGTCGACGACCCAGGAGGCCTGGTCGACGACCCAGGAGGCCTGGTCGACGACCCGGGAGGCCTGGTCGACGACCCGGGAGGCCTGGTCGACGACCCGGGAGGCCTGGTCGACGACCCAGGCGGCCTGGTCGAGGACCGGGCCGCGGGGACGCTAAGCCCCGGAAGCACCTCCAGATTACTAACAGCCAGTTGCCACTCTACAGGGAGACGAGGGCTTCGAGCGACACATTGATCACCTCTTCGAGATGACGTCTTACATGGTGCAGAGAATGAAGCAGCACCCAGACAAGTACGAGTTCGTCAACGACGAGCCAGAGTGTACGAATGTCTGCTTCTGGTACGTGCCCCACCGTCTGCGCTCCGTCAAGGCCGGACCCGAACGCTGCAAGCTGCTGGGAGAGGTCAGTGTAGCGGGGGTTGTGTCTGCTGGGGGGAGGTTAGTGTAGCAGAGGCTGTGTGTCTGCTGGGAGAGGTTAGTGTAGCAGAGGCTGTGTGTCTGCTGGGAGAGGTCAGTGTAGCGGGGGCTGTGTGTCTGCTGGGAGAGGTCAGTGTAGCGGGGGCTGTGTGTCTGCTGGGAGAGGTAAGTGTAGCGGGGGGCTGTGTGTCTGCTGGGAGAGGTCAGTGTAGCGGGGGCTGTGTGTCTGCTGGGAGAGGTCAGTGTAGCGGGGGGCTGTGTGTCTGCTGGGAGAGGTCAGTGTAGCAGGCTGTGTGTCTGCTGGGAGAGGTCAGTGTAGCGGGCTGTGTGTCTGCTGGGGGAGGTCAGTGTAGCGAGGGCTGTGTCTGCTGGGAGAGGTCAGTGTAGCGGGGGCTGTGTCTGCTGGGAGAGGTCAGTGTAGCAGGCTGTGTGTCTGCTGGGAGAGGTCAGTGTAGCGGGCTGTGTGTCTGCTGGGGGAGGTCAGTGTAGCGAGGGCTGTGTCTGCTGGGAGAGGTCAGTGTAGCGGGCTCTCTGTCTGCTGGGAGAGGTCAGTGTAGCGGGCTCTCTGTCTGCTGGGAGTTCTGAACCTCACGTAAAGATAACTAGGTCATTTATTTATAGGTTTAATGTGATAAAACTTAACACTAAATGTTAACACCAAGTTAACATCTGAATTATTAAAAATATTTAGCAAATGATTTAACAAAAATGTCAGCGACATTAACCAACTGCAGATTTGTTTTGCCGCAGTATAAAATAGTATTATTGTTCATACTAGTAAGAAAAGTCAGGTTAATATGTAGCATTAGTAACTGTGAGTTTAACTGGTCACGTAATGTTAATTAGGCATGTCTTAGTTTCACTTTAGTATAGGTGTACGGTTATTGTGAGATATGGTAGATAAGTGAACACTATTGTTACAAGGCTGAGCGAGGTGCGTGATATGGGACTTTATAAGGAAGGTCTACTGTTTTAGACTATTATATATGGCAATTGAAATTCAGTGCGCTCCCAATTTGAGAATTATTTAATATTTAGTTTAATTTGATTGGTGGACTGTCTCCAGACAATATGTAATCAGTTTTGTCAACATAAAGGATAAGTTTATTAGCATTGAGTCACAACTGAACTCAATTTCAGTTCAACATTCACTGTGGGATTAGTATTTGAACAAATGAGGCGTCATCAGCGCATAGAACTGATTTAAAGTGTTGAGTGACATTGGGAAGATCATTGATGTAAAGGAGAAAGAGGAGTTGACCAAATATATTGCCCTGAGGGACGCCAATGTTATTAGCGAGAGTTAGCAGCAGTCACAGACACAGTGAAGCCTGAGGGTAGGCTCCTGAGTAGTGAAGGCAGTGACCTCTGACTCCAGTGTGTTGACGGGTGAGGACAGTATTGTGATGTTAATGTTGCTTGTATCCTGCAGGTGCAACCCATCCTCAAGGGGCGGATGATGACGGCAGGGACCCTCATGATCGGCTACCAGCCTCTCGACCACCACCCTAACTTCTTCAGGAACATCATCTCCTCTCAAGCCGTCAGGAGGGAGGACATCGACTTCATGCTGGAGGAACTGGACCGTCTTGGCTACGACTTGTAAGGTGCTGACGACGACACCGGGCCTCCTACTGCTCCTGCTGGGGGAGGGAGGGAGTCATGGCGGACCGCGACGAGACGAGAGCCAGATTAAAAAAACAAAACAGGGTTGCGACTCATCGGAAGCGCTCGACTTCGACCTTTTCTTCAATTGTGTTACTTATTTTTGTCTCTGTGTGAACCATCGTCTGGAGATGTGTATATATTATTTACGTTCTGGAAATTTTATGAGGTTGTGAAGTATTGTTCCCAGAGTGGCTGTGAGGGACATGAGGAGAGAAGCACCAAGTAGCGCAGCGCTCCGATGACTCGTCGACTCATGTTGGGAAGAAATGTCACCACAAGTCCTCTTCAGGACTGTTCTTGTCGACGCTCGGAGCAAGAACTGTCCGGGTGGAGTCTTCAGGAGTGTTCTTGTAGACGCTCGGAGCAAGAACTGTCCGGGTGGAGTCTTCAGGAGTGTTCTTGTCGACGCTCGGAGCAAGAACTGTCCGGGTGGAGTCTTCAGGAGTGTTCTTGTAGACGCTCGGAGCAAGAACTGTCCGGGTGGAGTCTTCAGGACTGTTCTTGTCGACGCTCGGAGCAAGAACTGTCCGGGTGGAGTCTTCAGGAGTGTTCTTGTCGACGCCCGGAGCAAGAACTGTCCGGGTGAAGTCTTCAGGAGTGTTCTTGTCGACGCTCGGAGCAAGAACTGTCCGGGTGGAGTCTTCAGGAGTGGTCTTGTCGACGCCCGGAGCAAGAACTGTCCGGGTGGAGTCTTCAGGAGTGTTCTTGTAGACGCTCGGAGCAAGAACTGTCCGGGTGGAGTCTTCAGGAGTGTTCTTGTAGACGCCCGGAGCAAGAACTGTCCGGGTGAAGTCTTCAGGACTGTTCTTGTCGACGCTCGGAGCAAGAACTGTCCGGGTGGAGTCTGAAGACGACCACAGTGTAGTACAAACGAGGCCTCTCTCTAATGGTCGTCCCCCACTCTCCTCCAGCAACGGTAGGGTCGTTGTCTCGATCTCAAGGCTTCGTCAGGACATGTTGGGTCGCCCTCGTCGAAGTCTGCGCTCCTCAAGGAGGGAATTTGTCCAACAACTCAAGGATCAACTGCTTCAGAGACCGTATAGAAGCTTCGTTACAGCGCGGCCACGGAGGGCGCTGACGGCTTGTAGTATCGCTAAATGTGGTGTTGTCTTTAGTGTAGAAGCGCCAAACTCAGCAGTAACGATGGTAAACTACAGCTGACCTGGCTGGGGTCAGCACACTGACCCAGGGTGACCTCCCTGTCACACTGCCTTACACGCGCGCGACTCCCGGGGCGTCGAACCCTCATTAGTGTGAGATTGGAGTCAAACCTTCCTCACCTGGCATGGAATCATAGCGGGCTGTAACCGAAGTTGAGGTCACGCTTGACCTGACCTCCGTCGACTTGATGGTGTGACCACCGGGCCTAACTGCGAGCAATGAGGCTAGGCTACTAGTTAGGATACTAGGCTACTAACTGGTTAGGATAGAGGCGAGGTGGTAACCTTCCGCGGGTGTTGTGGTCAAGGCTGCCACCAGAGGGCGTCCTCCCGCGCTCTCTCTCAGTGTTGTTGGCGGTCAAGGTGGCTGGCATCACACTGTGACCTCCCGCTACTGTGCTTGTTTGTGCTGTCACTTCTATACTGTCACCACACTGTCACCACACACACCTATACTGTCACCACACACACCTATACTGTCACCACACACACCTATACTGTCACCACACACACACCTATACTGTCACCACAAACACACCTATACTATCACCACACACACCTATACTGTCACCACACACACCTATACTGTCACCACACACACCTATACTGTCACCACACACACACCTATACTGTCACCACACCACACACACCTACTGTACTACAGTCACCACACACACCTATACTGTCACCACACACACACACCTATACTGTCACCACACACACCTATACTGTCACCACACACACCTATACTGTCACCACACACACCTATACTGTCACCAAACACACTTATACTGTCACCACACATACACCTATACCGTCATCACACACACACACCTATACTGTCATCACACACACACCAATACTGTCACCACACACACCTATACTGTCACCACACACACACACCAATACTGTCACCACACACACCTATACTGTCACCACACACACCTATACTGTCATCACACACACACCTATACTGTCACCACACACACCTATACTATCATCACACACACACCAATACTGTCACCACACACACACCTATACTGTCACCACCACACACCTATACTGTCACCACCACCACACACACACACCTATACTGTCACAACACACACCTATACTGTCATCACTCACACCTATACTGTCACCACCACACACCTATACTGTCACCACACACACACCTATACTGTCACCACACACACACCTATACTGTCACCACACACACACCTATACTGTCACCACCACACACCTATACTGTCACCACACATACACCTATACTGTCACCACACTGTCACCACACACACCTATACTGTCACCACACACACCTATACTGTCACCACACACACATATACTGTCACCACCACACACACCTATACTGTCACCACACACACCTATACTGTCACCACACACACACCTATACTGTCACCACCACACACACCTATACTGTCACCACACTGTCACCACACACACCTATACTGTCACCACACACACACACCTATACTGTCACCACACACACACACCTATACTGTCACCACACACCACACACACCTATACTGTCACCACACACACTATACTGTCACCACACACACCTATACTGTCACACACACACACACACCTATACTGTCACCACACACACACACCTATACTGTCACACACACACTATACTGTCACCACACACACACACCTATACTGTCACCACACACACACACACCTATACTGTCACCACACACACACCTATACTGTCACCACCACACACACCTATACTGTCACCACACACACTATACTGTCACCACACACACTATACTGTCACCACACACACACACTATACACACACACACCTATACTGTCACCACACACACACACCTATACTGTCACCCACCACACACCTATACTGTCACCACACACACCTATACTGTCACCACACACACACCTATACTGTCACCACACACACACACCTATACTGTCACCACACACACACTATACTGTCACCACACACACTATACTGTCACACACACACACTATACTGTCATCACACACACACACTACTGTCACACACACACACCTATACTGTCACACACACACCTATACTGTCACCACACACACCTATACTGTCACCACACACACACACACTACTGTCACACACACCACACACACACCTATACTGTCACCACACACACCTATACTGTCACACACACACACACCTATACTGTCACCACACACACCTATACTGTCACCACACACACCTATACTGTCACCACACACACCTATACTGTCACCACACACACACCTATACTGTCATCACACACACACCTATACTGTCACCACACACACACCTATACTGTCACCACCACACACACCTATACTGTCACCACACACACCTATACTGTCACCACACACACACACCTATACTGTCACCACACACACACCTATACTGTCACCACACACACCTATACTGTCACCACACACACCTATACTGTCACCACACACACACCTATACCACACCACTACTCACACCACATACTGTCACACACACACACCTATACTGTCACCACACACACACACACCTATACTGTCACCACACACACACCTATACTGTCACCACACACACCTATACTGTCACCACACACACCTATACTGTCACCACACACACCTATACTGTCACACACACCTATACACACACACACCTATACTGTCACCACACACACACACACTACTGTCACCACACACACCTATACTGTCACCACACACACACACCTATACTGTCACCACACACACACACACCTATACTGTCACCACACACACCTATACTGTCACCACACACACCACTGTCACCACACACACCTATACTGTCACCCACACACACCTATACTGTCACCACACACACCTATACTGTCACCACACACCTATACTGTCACCACACACCTATACTGTCACTGTCACCACACACACCTATACTGTCACCACACACACCTATACTGTCACCACACACACCTATACTGTCACCACCACCACACCTATACTGTCACTGTCACACACACACCTATACTGTCACCACACACACCAATACTGTCACACACACACCACTGTCACACACACACCTATACTGTCACCACACACACACCTATACTGTCACCACCACACACACCTATACTGTCACCTATACTGTCACCACACACCTATACTGTCACCACACACACCTATACTGTCACCACTGTCACCACACCACACCTATACTGTCACACACACACACCTATACTGTCACCACACACACACCTATACTGTCACCACACACACCTATACTGTCACCACACACACCTATACTGTCACACACACACCTATACTGTCACACACACACACCTATACTGTCACCACACACACACACCTATACTGTCACCACACACACCTATACTGTCACCACACACACACACCTATACTGTCACCACACACACCTATACTGTCACCACACACACACACCTATACTGTCACCACACACACACACCTATACTGTCACCACACACACACACCTATACTGTTACCACACACACACCTATACTGTCACCACCACACACCAATACTGTCACCACACACACCTATACTGTCACCACACACACCTATACTGTCACCACACACACCTATACTGTCACCACACACACACCTATACTGTCACCACCACACCAATACTGTCATCATACACACCTATACTGTCACCACACACACACACCAATACTGTCACCACACACACCTATACTGTCACCACACACATACACCTATACTGTCACCACACACATACACCTATACTGTCACCACACACACCTATACTGTCACCACACACACCTATACTGTCACCAAACGACCAGCGTGGAGGGAGGTGGCCAGCTGGAAGAGGTCTACACTGACTATACTGTAGGACATTCATTGTGTTCTCAAAGCTTAAGGTGCTTCACGCTGTACAGCTATCACTGGCTACCTCTTGGGTGCTCTGTTGGGTGCTCTGTTGGGTGCTCTGTTGGGTGCTCTCTGGGACCCTTGACGAACCGTCTAGTCGGGTACAGTGTTCCATCTGGTCGAGTACAGTGTTCCATCTAGCCGAGTACAGTGTTCCGTCTGGCCGAGTACAATGTGGGGCGGGGGGGACGTTCGACAAGCCACTGGCCTCCTGTCCTCGACGAGGCCGCTAAAGTGTAGTGACCCTCAGGTAAATTCAGGTAAATATCAGTAACAGCGATGCGCTATTGTCATTGGTCGCCCCCGCCAACATTGTCCTCCCCCATCTAGCCAGTGATGAAATATGGTATAGTTAGCCATAAAGAAATAGGAAAACGTTACTCTTCAAAGAAAATGGTCATTTTAGGGCTAACCATAAATATATTACTAGCGCAGAGAGATATTGACATGACCTCCCACTATATGTGGTCAAATGCGAAGAGTCACATATACTGGGAGGTCATATGTGGTCATATGTGAAGAGTCACATATGACCTCCCAGTATATGTCGTCATATGTGAAGAGTCACATATGACCTCAGAGCATATATGGACTCATGTGAGCATTTAGTCACGTGTATATGTGAATCTTCAACCACATTTACACATGTGTGCTTTATTAATGAGCTTCGACACACACCTGTACAACTCTCCAGCGCTTGTACACCTCACACCAGCACTTGTACACCTCGCACCAGCACTTGTACACCTCGCACCAGCACTTGTACACCTCACGCCAGCACTTGTACACCTCACACCAGCACTTGTACACCTCTCCAGCACTTGTACACCTCTCCAGCACTTGCACACCTCTCCAGCACTTGTACACCTCACACCAGCACTTGTACACCTCTCCAGCACTTGCACACCTCTCCAGCACTTGCACACCTCACACCAGCACTTGTACACCTCTCCAGCACTTGCACACCTCTCCAGCACTTGTACACCTCACACCAGCACTTGTACACCTCACGCCAGCACTTGTACACCTCACACCAGCACTTGTACACCTCACGCCAGCACTTGTACACCTCACGCCAGCACTTGTACACCTCACATCAGCACTTGTACACCTCTCCAGCACTTGCACACCTCTCCAGCACTTGTACACCTCACACCAGCACTTGTACACCTCACACCAGCACTTGTACACCTCTCCAGCACTTGCACACCTCTCCAGCACTTGTACACCTCACACCAGCACTTGTACACCTCTCCAGCACTTGCACACCTCTCCAGCACTTGTACACCTCTCCAGCACTTGTACACCTCTCCAGCACTTGCACACCTCACACCAGCACTTGTACACCTCTCCAGCACTTGTACACTTCTCCAGCACTTGCACACCTCACACCAGCACTTGTACACCTCTCCAGCACTTGTACATCTCACACCAGCACTTGTACACCCCTCCAGCACTTGTACACCTCACACCAGAACTTGTACACCTCTCCAGCACTTGTACACCTCTCCAGCACACCTCTCCAGCACTTGTACACCTCTCCAGCACTTGCACACCTCACACCAGCACTTGTACACCTCACACCAGAACTTGTACACCTCTCCAGCACTTGTACACCTCCCCAGCACTTGTACACCTCACACCAGCACTTGTACATCTCACACCAGCACTTGTACACCTCTCCAGCACTTGTACACCTCCCCAGCACTTGTACACCTCACACCAGCACTTGCACACCTCACACCAGCACTTGTACACCTCTCCAGCACTTGTACATCTCTCCAGCACTTGCACACCTCACACCAGCACTTGTACACCTCACACCAGCACTTGTACACCTCACACCAGCACTTGTACACCTCACACCAGCACTTGTACACCTCACCAGCACTTGTACACCTAACACCAGCACTTGCACACCTAACACCTTGTACACTCTCCAGCACTTGTACCTCACACCAGCACTTGTACACCTCTCCACCACTTGCACACCTCTCCACCACTTGTACACCTCACACCAGCACTTGTACACCTCACACCAGCACTTGTACACCTCTCCAGCACTTGTACACCTCTCCAGCACTTGTACACCTAACACCAGCACTTGTACACCTAACACCAGCACTTGTACACCTAACACCAGCACTTGTACACCAGCACTTGTACACCTCTCCAGCACTTGTACACCTCTCCAGCACTTGTACACCTAACACCAGCACTTGTACACCTCTCCAGCACTTGTACACCTCACACCAGCACTTGTACACCTCACACCAGCACTTGTACACCTCACACCAGCACTTGCACACCTCACACCAGCACTTGTACACCTCACACCAGCACGTGGAACGCTCCCACTCTTGTACACCTCACACCAGCACTTGTACACCTCACACCAGCACTTGTACACCTCACACCAGCACTTGTACACCTCACACCAGCACTTGTACACCTCACACCAGCACTTGTACACCTCACACCAGCACTTGTACACCTCACACCAGCACTTGTACACCTCTCCAGCACTTGTACACCTCACACCAGCACTTGTACACCTCACACCAGCACTTGTACACCTCACACCAGCACTTGTACACCTCACACCAGCACTTGTACACCTCACACCAGCACTTGTACACCTCACACCAGCACTTGTACACCTCTCCAGCACTTGTACACCTCACACCAGCACTTGTACACCTCACACCAGCACTTGTACACCTCACACCAGCACTTGTACACCTCACACCAGCACTTGTCACACCAGCACTTGTACACCCTCCAGCACTTGTACACCTCACACCAGAACTTGTACACCTCTCCAGCACTTGTACACCTCTCCAGCACTTGTACACCTCTCCAGCACTTGCACACCTCACACCAGCACTTGTACACCTCACACCAGAACTTGTACACCTCTCCAGCACTTGTACACCTCCCCAGCACTTGTACACCTCACACCAGCACTTGTACATCTCACACCAGCACTTGTACACCTCTCCAGCACTTGTACACCTCCCCAGCACTTGTACACCTCACACCAGCACTTGCACACCTCACACCAGCACTTGTACACCTCTCCAGCACTTGTACATCTCTCCAGCACTTGTACACCTCTCCAGCACTTGCACACCTCACACCAGCACTTGTACACCTCACACCAGCACTTGTACACCTAACACCAGCACTTGTACACCTAACACCAGCACTTGTACACCTAACACCAGCACTTGCACACCTCACACCAGCACTTGTACACCTCTCCAGCACTTGTACACCTCACACCAGCACTTGTACACCTCACTCCACCACTTGCACACCTCTCCACCACTTGTACACCTCACACCAGCACTTGTACACAGCACTTGTACACCTCACACCAGCACTTGTACACCTCACACCAGCACTTGTACACCTCACACCAGCACTTGTACACCTAACACCAGCACTTGTACACCTCTCCAGCACTTGTACACCTAACACCAGCACTTGTACACCTAACACCAGCACTTGTACACCTAACACCAGCACTTGTACACCTCTCCAGCACTTGTACACCTCTCCAGCACTTGTACACCTCACACCAGCACTTGTACACCTCACACCAGCACTTGTACACCTCACACCAGCACTTGTACACCTCACACCAGCACTTGTACACCTCACACCAGCACTTGTACGCCTCACACCAGCACTTGTACGCCTCACACCAGCACTTGTACACCTCACACCAGCACTTGTACACCTCACACCAGCACTTGTACCTCACACCAGCACTTGTACACCAGCACTTGTACACATCACACCAGCACTTGTACACCTCTCCAGCACTTGTACACCTCACACCAGCACTTGTACACCTCACACCAGCACTTGTACACCTCACACCAGCACTTGTACACCTCACACCAGCACTTGTACACCTCACACCAGCACTTGTACACCTCACACCAGCACTTGTACACCTCACACCAGCACTTGTACGCCTCACACCAGCACTTGTACGCCTCTCCAGCACTTGTACACCTCACACCAGCACTTGTACGCCTCACACCAGCACTTGTACGCCTCACACCAGCACTTGTACACCTCACACCAGCACTTGTACACCTCACACCAGCACACCAGCACTTGTACACACCAGCACTTGTACACCTCACACCAGCACTTGTACACCTCACACCAGCACTTGTACGCCTCACACCAGCACTTGTACACCTCACACCAGCACTTGTACACCTCACACCAGCACTTGTACACCTCACACCAGCACTTGTACACCTCACACCAGCACTTGTACGCCTCACACCAGCACTTGTACACACCAGCACTTGTACACCTCACACCAGCACTTGTACACCTCACTCCAGCACTTGTACACCTCACACCAGCACTTGTACACCTCACACCAGCACTTGTACACCTCACACCAGCACTTGTACACCCACCAGCACTTGTACCAGCACTTGTACACCACCAGCACACCAGCACTTGTACACCTCTCCAGCACTTGTACACCTCACACCAGCACTTGTACACCTCACACCAGCACTTGTACACCTCACACCAGCACTTGTACACCTCACACCAGCACTTGTACACCTCACACCAGCACTTGTACACCTCACACCAGCACTTGTACACCTCACACCAGCACTTGTACACCTCACACCAGCACTTGTACACCTCACACCAGCACTTGTACACCTCACACCAGCACTTGTACACCTCACACCAGCACTTGTACACCTCACACCAGCACTTGTACACCTCACACCAGCACTTGTACACCTCACACCAGCACTTGTACACCTCACACCAGCACTTGTACACCTCACACCAGCACTTGTACACCTCACTTGTACACCTCACACCAGCACTTGTACACCTCACACCAGCACTTGTACACCTCACACCAGCACTTGTACACCTCACACCAGCACTTGTACACCTCACACCAGCACTTGTACACCTCACACCAGCACTTGTACACCTCACACCACTTGTACACTTGTACACCTCATACCAGCACTTGTACACCTCACACCAACACTTGTACACCTCACCAGCACTTGTACACCTCTCCAGCACCTGTACACCTCACACCAGCACTTGTACACCTCTCCATCACTTGTACACCTCACACCAGCACTTGTACACCTCACACCAGCACTTGTACACCTCTCCAGCACCTGTACACCTCACACCAGCACTTGTACACCTCTCCATCACTTGTACACCTCACATCAGCACTTGTACACCTCTCCATCACTTGTACACCTCACACCAGCACTTGTACACCTCTCCAGCACCTGTACACCTCACACCAGCACTTGTACACCTCTCCAGCACCTGTACACCTCACACCAGCACTTGTACACCTCTCCATCACTTGTACACCTCACACCAGCACTTGTACACCTCACACCAGCACTTGTACACCTCACACCAGCACTTGTACACCTCACACCAGCACTTGTACACCTCACACCAGCACTTGTACACCTCTCCAGCACTTGTACACCTCTCCAGCACTTGTACACCTCACACCAGCACTTGTACACTGATTGGGTCCCGTTTAGACAGTGTCAGACATCAAGGGGTTGCTTAGACAGTGGCTGACAGGAAATTGATAGCAAGAAATACCTTCAGCAGAGAGAGAGACAGACAGACAGACAGACAGAAACAGACAGAGAGGCTTTTCCACCACCACCATTGTCCAGACTTGGTGAAACAAGGCCTCCAACCATCCAATATTACCATGTTACACTCCACTATTTGTATCCAATTGTGACAGACACAATAACATCTAATGTTCTTAATCTGTATAATGTCTGTTTGTGTCACATCGGTGACGTCACGCGCGTGTCAGAGCTGTCACCCCTTTCATATCATGTTTGGCCGTGGTGCGCTGTTTACATGTGTTTGGTGAGCTGTCTGAGCAGCACTTGGTACAGTCACCAAACACCGCCAGAGCACACCTGACACAGTCACCAAACACCGCCAGAGCACACCTGACACAGTCACCAAACACCACCAGAGCACACCTGACACAGTCACCAAACACCACCAGAGCACACTTGACACAGTCACCAAACACCACCACAGCACACCTGACACAGTCACCAAACACCACCAGAGCACACTTGACAGTCACCAAACACCACCAGAGCACACCTGACACAGTCACCAAACACCACCAGAGCACACCTGACACAGTCACCAAACACCACCAGAGCACACTTGACACAGTCACCAAACACCACCAGAGCACACCTGACACAGTCACCAAACACCACCAGAGCACACCTGACACAGTCACTAAACACCACCAGAGCACACTTGACACAGTCACCAAACACCGCCAGAGCACACCTGACACAGTCACCAAACACCGCCAGAGCACACCTGACACAGTCACTAAACACCACCAGAGCACACTTGACACAGTCACCAAACACCACCAGAGCACACCTGACACAGTCACCAAACACCGCCAGAGCACACCTGACACAGTCACTAAACACCACCAGAGCACACTTGACACAGTCACCAAACACCACCAAAGCACACCTGACACAGTCACCAAACACCGCCAGAGCACACCTGACACAGTCACTAAACACCGCCAGAGCACACTTGACACAGTCACCAAACACCACCAGAGCACACCGCCAAGAGCCAAGCAGGCAGCACCTCCAGGAGTTGAGAGTTAGGACATACGAAGTTCAGTTCTGTAGAAGAGTGTCACTGGTCGAGGGTGGCCGGTTAAGAACTTGCTGAAGACCGCACTGTCTTGCCACAGAGTATGTCGAGGTGCTCAGGTATCCGGACCCCAACTGGCCGCTCACCTCTGACGGGGCTCCAACTGTAACAGGTCGTTAACACCTTCGTTACACCTCTGAATGATAGTTTAAACCCCAAACCAGGTGTTTTGAGAGCATCATCCATGTGTTCTCTCTTGTTCATTATCCGCCGGTCTCTTTGTCTCGAAGTACGAGTTTCTTGGTTCACAAGTAAGACTTAAATGACCAAAAGATTGGTTCGTTCCGAAGTAGTTTGTATGTTGACTTCATCAGCAGTGACATCCTTCTTGACTCGCAGCACTGGATCAGCCATGAGTTGGCTAGGCCAGCCGTCAGCGGTGACATCTTTGGCTGTGGCGTCTGCCCCAGTGTAGTCGGTCGTGTAGGGCAGTGATGGGAGAACTTTAGTCGGCAGGATACCCAGGCACCCGCCTTGCCCCACCGGTGTCTCGCTCGCCATGCTAAACTTCATTATATTTTGTTTAAGCCCTTGACTGCGCCCTCAGAGTATGTTGTGTGGTTTAGCTCGAGCGACGCGCGGGGGGTCGAAGGCCTTGGGGGTTACTTTTGCTTCCGTGGCTGCTAGCTGATGTGTAGCAGGCAGGGCGCGCCCGTCCCCACGCACGCTGGCTCATCTCTCATAATCTCCTTTAATCATATTGATTTAGACTTCCCTGGAAGACCAGACAAGCGCACGCCGCCTTGGCCGAGGACGGAGGCGACGTGCGTCACTTGTGCATGGAGGAGAGACGTACGACATGCGCTGTGCGGACGGCCGACGCGACGTAGTCTTCATTGTGGCATTGTTGTGCACTGTGGCGCCCACTGTCACGCTTACCAGTGTTCGAGTTTGGCAGTCACGCTCTTGCTCTTCCCTGCCCTCAACATGCCCACCTGCCCTCCTCCCCTACATGCCCACCTGCCCACCTGCCCTCCTCCCCTACATGCCCACCTGCCCTCCTCCCCTACATGCCACCTGCCCTCCTCCCCTACATGCCCACCTGCCCTCCTCCCCTACATGCCCACCCCTCCTCCCCTACATGCCCACCTGCCCTCCTCCCCTACATGCCCACCTGACCTCCTCCCCTACATGCCCACCTGCCCTCCTCCCCTACATGCCCCCCTGCCCTCCTCCCCTACATGCCCACCTGCCCTCCTCCCCTACATGCCCACCTGCCCTCCTCCCCTACATGCCCACCTGCCCTCCTTCCCTCAACATGCCCACCTGCCCACCTGCCCTCCTCCCCTACATGCCCACCTGCCCTCCTTCCCTCAACATGCCCACCTGCCCTACTTCCCCTACATACCCACCTGCCCTCTCCAACACCCTCCCTAAGGGGGCAGAGGTAGACGCATCAGCATCTCTGTGTTGTTCTCAAACTTTCAAGTCTAACAAATGTATCAAAATATATGTG